GCGGGGAAGCTCGCAGCACCAGGGACCCCCGCTTGAGAGCACTGCTGAGGGGAAGCTCGCAGCGCTGGGATCTCTGGCTGAGGGCACTTCTGGGGGGAAGCTTGCAGCGCTGGGATCCGTGGCTGAGGGCACTGCTGGGGGGAAGCTCGCAGCGCTGGGGTTCTGGAGCATGGGAAAGGGGGAGCTTCTCCTGGGTCTGGGGGCCCTGTGTGACGAACTGAGACTGTTCTTGAGGTGGTCTGTGAATGCTGACAGGGGAGTGTGGCTAGGATAGTCTGCATACCTGAGCATGTAACCTGAGAACCCAGGAAGGGGGAGAGGCGAGGTGACACCTTTGCCCGGGAAACTGAACAAAGGCTGTGGGAGGGGTCGCTGAAGGGGGAGTTTCAGGAGCTGGCTAGTGACCATGGCTGGGAGGCAGACAGGGCTCTGACCTCCCAGGGGGGCTAGGGTGCCCGGGGACCCCAAGCTGGACCTACTGAGGGGGTCCTGTTGTCTGCGCCTGCAAGACCTGTCTTGGACTGTATTCCTGTCGTCTAAATAAACCTTCTGCTTTACTGGCTGGCTGAGAGTCATGGTGAATCGCAGGACGCCGGGGGTGCAGGGCCCTGAGTCCCCCCATACTCCGTGACACCCTGTTAACTCTTTCCTCTCCTTCTCCCGCAGAGATCAAGGTCGAGTATGTCCCAAAGCAAGGTGAGCCCCTCCCCCGGCCTCAGGCCTGGACAGTGGGGGGGGGAAGGCGGAGGGAGAAAATGGATTGGGGGGGCGAGGTTGCCCCTTTCCCCAGTGCCCAGACCTCGGGAGGGACAGGGCTGGGGGTGTGTGGGAGGGGCTGGGGGTACAGGGGTGCAGGCCTGGGGGGAACTCAGGGGGGACAGGGTTGGGGCACTGTGGAAGGGGCTCGGGGAACAGCGGTAAGGGACTGGGGAAAGGGGGGACAGGGTTGGGGGTGTGTGGGAGGAGCTGGGGGTACAGGGGTACGGGACTGGGGGGTACAGGGGTGCAGGACTGGGGGAACTCAGGGGGGACAGGGTTGGGGGTGCTGTGGGAGGGACTGGGGGTACAGGGGGGATGCAGGACTGGGGGAGCTCAGGGGGACAGGGCTGGGGGTGTGTGGGAGGGACTGCGGGTACAGGGGTTCAGGACTGGGGGTGCAGGACTGGGGGAGCTCGGGGGGACAGGGCTGGGGGTGCTGTGGGAGGGGCTGGGGGTACAGGGGTGCAGGACTGGGGGAAGTCAGGGGGGATCAGGGCTGGGGGGCACTGTGGGAGAGGCTGGGGGTACAGGGGTGCAGGACTGGGGGAGCTCGGGGTGCACAGGGATGGGGGGCTGAGCTGGGGGGACCCCCCTATCTTGGGGGTTGGGCCATGGCGGGGATTGGGCCTTTCCTGGCTGGCGGGATGACCCCTCACCCTCCGCCCCCCCCAGAGCCCCTCAAAATCCACCTGGACTGCTCGGGGAAGACGGCCGAGAACACCATCATTGTGGTGGCGGGGAACAAGGTGCGGCTGGACGTGCCCATCACCGGGGAGCCCGCGCCCACCGTCTCCTGGATGAAGGGCGACCAGGTGGGTGCTGGGGCCAAGGGGTGGGGGGGTCTCTGAGGGGGTGAGGGGTACCCCAGGGGGTGGGGGAATTTCTAGGGGTGGGGGGCTCCTGGGGGTGGGGGGCTCTGCCAGGAGGGGGTGAGGGGTACCCCAGGGGGAATCGTTAGGGGTGGGGGTCCCGGGGGGGCTCCTGGGGGGGGCGGAGGTTCCCCGGGCACTGAGTCCCCCCCGGCCCCCCAGGTGTTCACGGACACCGAGGGCCGCGCCCGCATCGAGGTGCACCCGGACGAGAGCAGCTTCGTGATCGACAGCGCGGAGCGGGGCGACGAGGACAAGTACTGCATCACCGTCACCAACCCCATGGGGCAAGACAGCGCCGTGCTGCACATCAAGGTGGTCGGTAAGGGGGGGCCGGGGGGCAGGACTGGGTGGGGCTGTGGGGGGTTGGGTAGGAGGGCTCTGGGCAGAGGAGCTGAGCAGGGGGCTGGGGGGTTAGGGGGCTGGGCAGGGGGCTGGGCGGGGCTGTGGGGCAGTGGGCTGGGTGGGAGGGCACTGGGGGGGCTGTGGCTGGGCGGTGGCCATGCTGGGATCCTCGGGGCGTTTGGGGGGTGCGGGTGTGTTGGGCTGGGTCATGGGGGCGCTGATTGGGGCTGCCGGGGTGAGGTCACGGAGGTTGTGGGGGGCAGGGCGGGGGAGGTGCTGATTGGAGTCGAAGGAGTGTAGCAGGTCAGGGGTCGCGGCTGGGGTCACGGGATGGGACGCCCCCCGTCCCCATGCCGAGCTGGTCTCAGTGTCCCCCCCCCCGTGTCTTCCAGATGTTCCCGACCCCCCCGAAGCTGTTCGCATCACCTCTGTGGGGGAGGACTGGGCCATCCTGGTCTGGGACCCCCCCAAATACGATGGGGGAAATCCCATCACCGGTGAGTGTGAACCCCAATACCGCCCCTACCCCCCAGCCCGTGGGTAACACATCTTGGGAGGGCCCCAGAGCCTGGAGCCCTGGACCCCCCGCCCCCAAGTCCCTTTCTCGGGCCAGCACCGACACCTCCGGGCCGGCTCCCTGCAGAGGACGGGCCCCGGGCCCCAGTTGCCAGGCGGGCCGGTCTCTGTGCCCAGGCGGCCTGATCCCACCTGCCCTCTAGCGGTCACTGCAGCGCTCACCCCCCCTTGTCCCACCGCCTTGATACTTGCGTAGCCGCCAGGGGAAACTGAGGCACGCCCAGTGGGCACCTGCTGGTGAGGCAGAAGAAGGGGGCAGTGGGACTGGGGGCTGTCTCTGAGCCCCCCGTGCCCGCAGGGTACCTGATGGAGAGGAAGAAGGGCAGCAAGCGCTGGATGAAGCTGAATTTCGAGGTGTACGGGGACACCACGTACGAGTCGACGCGGATGATCGAGGGGGTGCTCTACGAGGTGCGGGTCTTCGCCGTCAACGCCATCGGGGTGTCACAGCCCAGCCACAACACAAAGCCCTTCATACCCATCGGTGAGCGGGGCGGGGGGAGGATGCTGTGGGGTTCAAGGTGATGGAGGAGGAGGGGCACTGAGGGTGTGGATTATGGGGCAGGAGGGGGAGGGTTGCTGGGAGCATGGGGGTCATGGTTATGGGGTGGGTTGCGAGTAGCACTGGGGACACGGGTTATGGGGCGGGAGGGGGAGGGGTGCTGGGGGTCAGGGTTATAGGGTGGGAGGGGGAGGGGCACTGGGGACAGGGCTATGGGGCAGGAGGGGGAGGGGCACTGGGGACAGGGCTATGGGGTAGGAGGGGGAGGGGTGCTGGGGGTCAGGGCTATGGGGTGGGAGGGACGCTGGGGGTCGAGTTATAGGGTGGGAGGGGCGCTGGGGGTCAGGGGTTATGGGGGGGGCAGCACTGTCTGGCTGTGATGGGGGGGCTCTGATCCTCCGTGTCCCCCCCGCAGCCCCCACCAGCGAGCCGACCCACCTCACGCTGGAGGATGTGACCGACACCACGGCCACCATCAAGTGGCGCCCGCCCGACCGGCTGGGGGCCGGGGGCATCGACGGTTACCTGATCCAGTACTGCCTGGAGGGCTGTGAGTGGGGAGGGTGGGGCTGGGAGTGACCCAGGGGAGGCTATGGGGGGCCTGGGAGTGACCGGGGGTCCCTGTGGGGGGGAGAGAGGGGGCTGGGAGAGACGCAGGGCCTAGGGGGGCTGGAGGTACAGGCCCTTTGGGGGAGGGTGGGTGCCCCCTACTGGGGGTGAGCTAAGAGACATCCTGGGGGTCAGGGGGCTGCACGGGGGGAGACCCCAGCAGAGGAGGGAGATGCCCAGTGAGGGAGGGGGAAGTCCCCCTTGCCCCATCCCCCCCCAGGCTGGCCCTAGACGTGACCCCCCCCCACAGCCCGGCCTTGACCGTTCACTCCTCCCCCCAGCGGACGAGTGGGTCCCGGCGAACACGGAGCTGGTGGAGCGCTGTGGCTTCACGGTCAAGGGGCTGCCCACGGGCGAGAAAATCCTCTTCCGGGTCATCGGTGTGAACATCGCCGGGCAGAGCGCCCCGGCCACCATGGGGCAGCCCGTCACTGTCCGCGAGATCGTGGGTGAGTGACCCCTGACCCCCCGCCCCCCGCCCCGGGCACGGCCCCCCCCCACGCTCCCTCTCCCCCCCCACAGAGCAGCCCAAGATCCGCCTGCCCCGCCAGACCTACATCAAGAAAGTGGGGGAGCAAATGAACCTGCTCATCCCCTTCCAGGTGAGCGGGGGGTGGGGGGGGGGCAGTTGCCTTGTTCTCTCCCCCTCCCCCGGGGACACGAGGCCGCTGTGTCGATTTAGATGAAACAAACGGGCCAAAGGTGTTGGCACGACCCAGTCACTGGCGGGTGTTAAAGGGGGCCAGGCGTGCGGAGCCGGGGAGAGACCCGCTAACCGGGGCTGGACGTGCGGAGCCGGGGCAGGGACCCGCTAACCGGGGGCCCCGGGCGTGCGGAGCCGGGGCAAGGACCCGCTAACCGGGGCCCAGGGCGTGCGGAGCCGGGGAGAGACCCGCTAACCGGGGGCCCCGGGCGTGCGGAGCCGGGGAGAGACCCGCTAACCGGGGGCCCTGGGCGTGCGGAGCCGGGGCAGGGACCCGCTAACTGGGGGCCCCGGGCGTGCGGAGCCGGGGCAGGGACCCGCTAACTGGGGGCCCCGGGCGTGCGGAGCTGGGGCAGGGACCTGCTAACCGGGGCTGGACGTGCGGAGCCGGGGCAAGGACCCGCTAACCGGGGCTGGACGTGCCGAGCCGGGGCAGGGACCCGCTAACCAGGGGCCGGTAACCCCCCCCCAGGGTAAACCACGCCCCAAGGTGACGTGGACGAAGGATGGGAAGCCCCTGGACCCCAAGGAGGTCAGCATCCGCACCTCGGACCTGGACACCATCCTCTTCATCCGCTCGGCCGCCCGGCACCACTCGGGCCAGTACCAGCTCGCAGCGCAGATCGAGAACATGGAGGACCAGGCCACCATCCAGATCCGCGTCGTGGGTGAGGGCGGGGGGGGGGGGGGGGGG